ATCTATCTATCTATCTATCTATCTATCTATCTATCTATCTATCTATCTATCTATCTATCTATCTATAGATTATATATAATCTTTTGAGATAGATATATAATTCTTATTCATATCCAAATCCCACCTGGTGCTGACTTTGTAACCTGGCATTCCATACTTTTAAGTAGTTTTCTTACCTAATAAATAGTATTCTTGCTTTTCAAAAGAATGTTAAGAATCAGATAAAACATTTATTTAAAAGCCTGATGGCTTAATATGACAAGATTTTTAACATGATTGTAAACTATAAGCATTTAAGACTGTTTTGAGTAGAATATATACAGTATAAGAGAATTAAATATTAGAAAATTATTTGTAATTGTTCATTTCTACCAGTGGTGGGTTGCTACCGGTTTGCTGTGGATCGGGCAAACTGGTAGCGGCGGTGGTGGGAGGCTCTGCCCATCCACCCGGATGCTTCTGCGCATGTGCAGAACTGTTGCGCATGCCCACGAGCGAAATGGTAGTAGGTTTTGAAACCTGACCCTGTGTCAAGTTTCCAAAAGATGCCCTAATTAATTCATGAGCCATGATCCAAACTTCAAAGGAAATATAGTCATTTATTAGGAGCAACATTCCGGCAATACTCGGATGCAGTTAGGACTGATCCTACGTAGATTTACGTTCCCCTATGACCCTGTCTCTCCCCTCCTCTCTGGCCATGTCATAAATCACATTCTCCAATTAACCACTTTGGCTGGCTGTGAAACCTAACACCCTCCTTCTGATTGCGGTCAGAAAGAATGTATGGAATTCACTTCAGTTCTCCCTCCCTCCTGCTCATGGCAATTTGAAAGCTTTTCAAGTTGACAATCCTGATTTCTACTGTTATATGAATATTTTTTTTACTCCTTACACAATTTTTGATAAAAAATATAATTTAATATATTTAATATAACCATATGGTTATTTCAGTTTATCTAATATTTAAGATTTTTTTTTTTACAGAAAACTATTCTGAAAGCTAACAAATTAAAATCTTATGAAATGGTTCCCTATATTGATCAGTATACATCAAATCAAATCTTAATTAAAGTCAAAGACCAACATAATGATCAGTACAGCGTATTTGATTCTTGGCTAAAATCAATCATTTTTTTCCACACATATATCGTTTCTATGGAACAAATCATGCACAACTTATATGTTAAATTACTGCTCAACTGAGCATGTTCATTACTGTCTCAACTGAAACAAATCATGTTGGCTGTGAAAGTTTTCTCCTCACATCAATTGTTTTGCACACAAATATTTGTTGGGGGGGAAACATATGTGCTCTTGCCATATGTTCTGATGCAAAATCAATGATTATGTCTATTCTCCACACATGACTTATTTTAAAAGATCATGGGAAATAGAACTTTGTGAGTTCAAAATAGTTATTAAATATCTATAGTTTCCTCAACTGCAATCAACAAAGGAAGCTGTTATAAAATTTGTTGTGGATATGCAACATCATTACCAAGGAATTTCAAAGGTGACATGTGAATGAACATGCATAGATTTACATTTTGGATATAATGAAATTGAAATAAATAATTCTAATGAAGAGCTCTTTGTGCTAAAATCATTACAAATTTATGCCTAAAAACCTCACAAATATATTGCATCTTTGTTTTTTCACTCCTCTTTTCCTGTGACAAGTTGAACTATACTGAAATTTTCTTGTACAGCTTTTTAACCATTCAATTTTTTTTTCCTTTCCCCTAAAAAGAAGAAAAATGCTTATAATAATGTCCAGGATTGTGGCTTGTATTACAGTTGAAGACATGTAACTATTTCAATACACTGATTTCACTAGAGAGCTTCATGAAACTTTCCATGAAACTTTTTCTGATCAGACATCATAAAGCCATGCCAGATAGGCTTGCAAAAGCGAGAATGAAGTTAGGGGAACTTGGAAATACATGATCTCTTGTCTTGTTATATGTATATGGGGAAAGAAAACTGTTAGGAAAGCCAGATAGATTTTGATACAGTATTGCATTGCTTTATTAAATAGAATAATTTATGATGGTCTGTGATCCATCATGTTTTATTTTTAAATTCCTCATCTTCTTACTTTAGTTTTTTTTTTTCCTGGTGATTCTTTTCTTATAAGGTTAATTCTTTAGAAATGGCCTAGTATTAACTTAAATATATACAGTAGTGGCCAAAATTGTGGAAACCTTTTGGGAAAAGTGTATTTTTTAAAAATAGCTAATCACACCCCCTTTTTTTGGAGTAGTACCGTAAAATTATATATCAATGGAAAGATAATTTAATCAAGAATGTAATGCAATAACTTTTATGAAGGATTTGCTATTAGAATACCTGTTACACTATAAAGAAGAAAAGTGAAACATGTAGAAAAAAATGAAATATACAAAAATTATCACATCAGTTAATACTTAGTTGGCATGAATACTTTAGCATGAATTATGGCCTTATAATGTCTTCTTATGGAGTAAACCAAATCTTTTAGTTCTGCAGCTGTTATAATGTGAAACCAAGATTGAATGATTGCTTCTATTAACTGGGTTTTATTGCTGGGTCGCTTCTGACTAACAAGTTTCTTTAGTCAGCTCCATAGATTTTCAATTGGCTATTCCCAGGCCATTCCAGCAGTGGAATATGATTATCTTGAAACTCCCAAAAAAGTGGTGTTATTAGCCATCAAACCTCAAAAATACACTTTTCCCAAAAGGATTCCACTACTGTATTGTAGGATTTTAAAATTCTAATTCTTTCCTTCTTCAATGACCAAACACTGTTTACACATTAATCAAGAAAGCCTTGGCTTCCCCCAATGTTACATTCAATATAATGGACTACTGGGATAATAAGCGTCTAATGAAGCTGAACATCTGTTAAACATGAATGGGACTCTATGTATGCATATTTTACATAATTCTATATGTGCAAAATGATAAATCGGACATATTTTCATTTATTTATTAAACTTCTATATGGCCCATCTCACATAAGTAACTCTGGGCTGTTATGCCCGAACAGACGGTTATGAATAGACAGTTGTCAGTCACATTTAAAATATATTATACAAGGTTCATTAAATAATTGACTCAGCCTTCCATCTTTTCTAAGGTAGGTAAATTGAGGACCCAGTTTGTGGGGGCAATAAGCTGACTTTGTATAAATATACAAAAGTATGAAGGCTATTGCTTAACGCATTGTAAGCCGCCCTGAGTCTCCGGAGAAGGGCGGCATATAAATCAAATTTTTTAAAAATGGAAATATTGCTACATAGCACTGAATAAATCAATTGCCAGGGTAGGTACATCATCCTAAGACACTTTGTCTAGGTTAGCACAGTATGTCCAAACAAAGAAAAACAAATGGTTCAGTGTAATGTGTGAACCCAGTTAGAATCAGCATGCTGAAAAAACAGCTTTTGGAGATAGGGAGTAGGGACAGATAAGGTAGCAGGCATAAGAATGATTAAGCACCTGCACTTTGTCATTATTTTTTCCAGCTTGTGAAGTTTATGGCTGGCCACTGAGGATTTTTTTACACCCATTTGCAGCCATTATGCAGCTGGCATTTTGTGCAAATTTGCCATAATAATTAGAGATACATCTTAGTTTTTCTTGACATAATCAACTGTTTGACCTAAGAAAAATGAGCAAAACATTAAAATGAATATGTATGTTTCTTGTTTGGTTGTGATATATAAGCCTTCTTCTCTTACCCTCTCAGTACTAGAGGGAATTTATAGATTAAAAAAAAAAAAGCTTTTCAAGTAATTTTCTTCTTATTTAAAAAGGCCACTTTTTAAGCACATGTGCAATAAAATTACTTATGCTTATTCATTGGACTATATATTGGAATATAGCTCCTCCTCCTGAAGTATGCGTGCATGTGTATTTCGGCAGGCATGTATGTGCACAAGAAAATTAAAGATGCTGCATAGGGTATGAAAATGTCTCTATAATTCAGATTGCTACTAGATATAATTCCAGTTGGCTTAAAATATCTCTACAATAGTTGTCTATTTTAACAATCTTGGAAGAAGTATATACTGAAAATGTAAAGCATTCAAAGTAAATGCAAGAGCTGCAAAATTTATCAAATGGCTAAAGAAATCAGTGTAATTAAGCTGTGTTAGAATTATGTTCCAAATTCAATAAAAAAACCATTGCTCTATTAAATAGGATACAGCAGATGTATGTACATCTGCATTTCCATAATGCCAGCATAGGGCAATATCATGAGTAATAAAATCTGCTAAACCAGCTTGGTGTGACTGACAAGATTTCTAGTTATTCTCAGAAGTTTTCTAAGCAACCTCTTTTCCTCCCCCCCCCACCCTCATGTCCGACTCCTTTCCATTTTTTACATTTGTGGACTGCAAAATGTCAGTGCCATTAATCAGAGGTGACATCTCCATCCCTTTCTCTCATAACCTAAGAGCTAGTGCTCATTTGGTGGAAGTATTTCACATTGTCGACTTTATAGGCTATAATTGAGTCCATTGGACCTCAGTTAAATTACAACCAAGTTTGAATGTTCTTGCTGTTCTTCTCTAAGGATATAGCCCTAGGTAAAATATAAATCTGCTCAGAAACAACTGG